GTAGTAGCGAGTCAACAAGGGTCTTATTGTTCGATGCATTATCCGTAGTTATCCCAAACACACGATCCTGGATGTTATGATCAGCAAGTATCTATAAGAGAACACAACTTAGATTAGCACCAGTGTGAGTACCTTCAAGGGGTTTAAACCCAAGAAGCACCTCCCGGTAGGACCAATCAATGTCAATAAAATAGCCAGTGATTGCCATAAATGCCTGTCCGAATGGTAAAGTCCAGCAATCCAATGCAATTGAGATTTTGGCATCTGCTGGAAGCAGTTTGAGTGTAGAATGTTGGCGTTCTTCAACACGAGCAGATATTCGACGTCGAACGGTATCAGCAGAGGGGATAGATGGGAGGCTTGGGGCCGAGTGTGCTTGTGATATTATCCGTCGAAACGTTGGATGTTCGATAAGGTGAAAGGGAAGTCGATTGATCGTGATAAACTGTAATAGATTATCCTCCCAAGCTGCCTCGGAGAATGGCTCTCGGATAGTATTATCCTATTTCAATTATATGAGTGGTACGAATTGTACTAAAGGGATATCCATACTTTTGACTGAATAAACTTATCGGGTCCCCCTCGTTGCTGACCTCCACTTACAGCCCTTTTACAGGCAGACGTCCTGAGATGCCTAGTCATAGTAGTTGTACCATGACGCGCATCCTTCCTGTTCGCATCTTTTTTGGCAGCATAAGGATGCTCAAGGATCGCAGAGCAGTGCTTACGCATGACCTTTGGGCTGCCATCGTTGCTATGGGCTACCTGGGTAAAGTGGTCCCAGACATGTGAAAGATGATTTGAGTGCCATGCGACCTTGCACTTTGATCCATAATCGGGTTGTAACCACCACTCTACCCACTCTTGGTGATTCATTCTGTCATACAAGAAGTATAACCTTTTCCGATCGGGTCCGACACGTTCAAATCGTTCAAAATGGGGGAGTAAGGGAGGGTCGTCCGGTCGAAGAAAAGCCGGTACAGATGCATCAAAAGTCTGTTGGCTTGTCGATGGCGTGGCTGGGTAATTGGAGGGTATAAGGTAGGATAAGTTATCGTAGTCACCACCGAATTGTGATGATGCAAACTCAGACTGCTGACTTTGGGACATTTGTAGAGTTAATAAAACCTATAACAGAAAGGGCTTTTGAGAATGCATAAAGGAGGGTCGATACATTACAAGAAGCTCTACCACCTAGAAGTGTTACTTAACTAGTTATATCGATAATCGATATATCAAAATAGGGGCCGATGATAGTAGTATATGATTAGTTGAATTGTATATAATAAGTGGGGCCGGCTCGAAAAAAGCCCCTGAAGCTCGAAAAAAAACCCAGAAAGCTCGACGAAAGCTTGAAAACCCCATTAATAGCCCGTAAAAAGCCCATGAATAGCCCATTCCCGGCCCATTCCCGGCCCATTCCCAGCTCGTTGAAACTTGATTTTCCTCAAAATATTTTAACTGATTAGCCATGAGAAAATTTTAAATATAGGTAGCTCATCCAAAACTATCAGGACTAGTAATATAAAAGGCTCTTAGAAATGATAAATGTGTAGACTTTCTTTTAATACAAAATTCGAACAAGTTAAGCCACTTGTAATTGAAATTGGTCTGATATTGATACTCGACCATAAAGATACACAGAGTTCCTAGTACAGAATATATATCTCTATAGGTAGTACCTCATAAGCGTAGAACATTCCAAACAAACTGATATGTACAGTCATAAAGCTTAGTTATAATGCTAATGTATCAAAGACATGTATCTATTCACTAGAATTTCCAAATCCTTCCCCTTGTTATGATAATCGAGTAGAATTCCATGTATAAACCAAAACATGGGTAAAAGACGGTCATTGATTTGGGTGATTCAGCCATTTTATGAACGCCAAGACCATGTTTTATGCAATTTCGAGCCCCCTCCCCTGCGAGCCGGGGTCCGGGTCGAGCTTGAAAAGTTCGACCCCCAGCTCGTTGCGGGTCGGGTTTCGAGCCCGGACCTTGGGCCCAAAGTTGGGCTTTGCGGAAGTCTACTAGTAGGGCTCACCTGACAACCTGACAGCCGTTTTGGGTGTAATTTATTTTTACTTGTTAGAAGTCACATGACTTCTTTGTTTGCTCCTAGTACTTAGTCTAGCTAAACCTGTAGATAGCTTCTCTCTTCTACAACGCATCCAGAGATCTCCAGTTTCATCTACGGCTTCATTTGTAGACTGAAAATCATCTCTCTCATTACTACTTCCCACTAGTACTATCTACCTTCTACTAGAAGCAACCCTAATACTACTAGGAGCGACTAGTAAAATACCACCTGACAACCTGACGACCCCCCTACTCTACAACAATAACCCTAGTGCAGATATGTACTTCAGTCTTTCATATAGAATAACACTCTATAATATCAAGTCACACTCCATAATTCGATCATGATGTACCGAGAGAATCCAACTAGCACAGCCACCCCTTTTTTTGCAAGCCGTTCCCCAGTGAGGCTCCGTGATTAAAAAGCGGAGCATTGTTGGTATTCTGTTTCTTTGAACAAGGCTGACCTTACCTATGCCACAGTCTAAGAATCAATATCTTAGTCTTATTGTCACGGTGTGAACCGTAATGCTTAGTAAAAGGAAGATCACGACACGTGATCT